TTGCCCTGGCGATGAAGGAAGCCAAGCTTCCCACAGGCCCTGACCGGCTCTGAGCTCCACTCAAGGCCACAAAGTTTCAATTATAGACCATAAATAAATTCCAGATACCTGCTTGCAGCCAGCCTCCACTGGGAGCTTGGGTGGCTGGAGGCCATGGCCAGCCTGCAAACAGCAATCATCCCCTCACCCAGGCTGGCCAGGCACCCCAGCGGGGACCCCCCTCCCTGAAGGGGGTGTGGCCAGCCTGAAAACGGCCCTCAGCCCCTCACCCAGGCTGGCCAGGCACTCCAGCGGGGACCCCCATCCTGAAGGAGGTGTAGCCAGTCTGAAAACGGCCCTCAGCCCCTCACCCAACGTGCTCATTTTTTTGGACAAAGAATTGCACATTTAAATATATTTTTAATATTATCTATAGATATACTTTTTCCAAAGGTAGCTTCAATAATAGATCCATTACAAATCATTTCACAGGGGATTTCAATAATACCTATTCCTAAATGAAAACTGCTATCAAGTTTGCCATCTCCAAGTTTTACTAACTATTCACTATAAGCAGAGTCCTCTGATCTCATATTTGTTTTAAGAGACAACTTTCTGAAACATCCCCAAACATCACAGTACTTTAAACTCATTTGTACTATGGCCGCTCCCATAGCATGTGGTACTGAGACATTGTCGAAAATCCCCTCCTAAGAAGGAGAAGTTTCCCACCAAATACAACATTCAAATTCATAATTTCTCTTAGTAATCTGTCTATGGCATTCATAGCATGACTGGATGCATCCTATCTAATAATAGAGAAACATGGTTATTAACTGTACCTCCGCTACCCTTCCCATTGGCTAATCAGGGCGATATGCAAATTAACTGTCAACCAAGACGGCGGACGGCAGCCAGGCACCTGAAGCGAACAGGAAGCTTGCTTACTCCAGTGATGGAGGAAGCCAACGTTCCCCGCCTGCCACTGCCAGCCTCTGAGCTTGCAGTTTAAGAAACATTGTTGCAATTATAGAAGCTAAAAAAAACCCAGACACCTGCTTTCAGCCAGCCAGGATCTCAGAGCTGGAGTCGCAACAAAGTTTCAAATACAGAAGGTAAACAAAGCCCAGAAACCTGCTTTCAGAAGCTGAGGTCTCAGAGCTGGAGCCGAGCCTCAGAGCTAAAGCCGGCTCTCAACTCCAGTGACAGCCATAGAAGGTAAATAAATCCCAGAATAAAAAAAGAAGAAGAAAAAAAGGAGAGGTTGGGAGCTTCAGTCGCCCGCCAGCCTGAAAACGGCCATCACCCAGACTGGCCAGGCACCCCAGTGGGGACCCCCACCCTGAAGGGGGTGTGACCAGCTGCAAACAGCCATCATCCCCTCATCCAGGCTGGCCAGGCACCCAAGCGGGACTCCCACCCTGATCCGGGACACCCTTCAGGGCAAACCAGCCAGCCCCCCCCCGTGCACCAGGCCTCTATCCTATATAGT